AAAAAAAAAAAAAAAAAACGCAAAATCGTAGATCTAAAATAAATACCAAAAGACCAAGGCAAAACAACACAAATCTTTGCAGGGTGGTTCAATTACCTTAAAATCGGTGTCAATTACCTTAAAATCGACGAAACTGACGTGAAAAAGCCGAGATCGATCGGAAAAAATTGTGGATCTGAAGGTACGCCGCCTAACAGGAGATGAAAGGAAGTGGCAGATATATAAATAAGGGGAGCAGATGAGAGATTTGGGAGATCCCACCGCGTAGGGCAAATTCGAAAGACCGAGAAAAACAAGGGTGTGCGCTATCGTGCGCAGGGGGATTTTGGGAATATGAAGCACAGCCAAACCGGGTTTTGGTAACTGCCGGACTTTTTACCATACCCGGTTTAGCGCTTCCCTCCATCTCTCCAGCTTTCTTTATCGTTTGCAAATGAAATGGGCAACCTACCTTTGTATTTATTATTTAATTAAAAAAAAAAAAACCTTTGTTTTTAAAATTAAAATTTTACGGAATAATAATAAGAGAATTATTTATAAATATTAATATTAAAAATAATATAAATTGTATTTATAAAATTGATCTATAAGAAAAATATGTTTATATATAGTTATAAATTTAACATTCACATCAATTAAAAAGATGTAAAATTTTTGTTTGAAACTAAATACTTCTACAATAAAAATAATAATAAGAATAACACTAATTACATTTATAGATTACGATAAATTATTTGTTATGATGACACAACCCTTGCATCTTTTCTTATCTGTCTTTTTTTTTTTTTAATGATAAATATTATATCACGAGAAAAAACTTGTATAACGAGGGATTACAACTTCAACTGAGCAGAACTGGAGAAACACTACCAATAATGATCTAGAAAAGAAAGAAAGCATAAACTACACAAAGATTTCTAGGTCGGTATAAACTGAAGCTACAACCCCGACCTGTCCTCTTAGCCCTTGTTTGCTTTTGGGGATGGGATTGGACTAATTTAGTCCAATTGGAAAGGATTATACTGTTGGAATTGAATTAATCATATGTTTGTTATACAGGATAAGGGGTAGGATAAGTTTAGATTAAAAATTAAATAAAAAATGTGTAGGTGGTGTAAAGTACTTTTATACCCTTTCAATTAAACCAAAAATTATTAAAATGAGGGTAAATTTGACTTTAGCTTCTTGGGATTGAATTAATCCCATGTAAATGGAGGGATTCAATTATCCTAATTTCATGGGATAACTCACTTTTTTATCTCGGGCCGACCCAATCCAGCGGGCCTTAACACAACGAACCAAACGTAGGATTAGGCCAGGATTAGACAGGATATCCTGCCTAATCCTACAAAACAAACAGGGCCTTAGAAGTCGTACTAACAAGGGCTAGTACTAATCAAAAGATAGGGTGGTCACTGAACAAATGAACATAGCTGCTCTATCACAAAGTTAACCAATATCGAAAAAACTACATATAGAAGTGCTAAAAATTGCATATAAGAGATATATAAGTGCTAAGTTACTAAGTTAAGTAAACCATTTTTAACCAAACATAATATCCTTAAGTAATGTATGTCATTTTTAGTTACTACGAGTAGGCAACCCGTGCGATGTACGGGGAGACTTTTATTATCACTTTTTTTTTTGTTAAAAGTTAGATTAAGTATAAGTTGTATAAAAATAAACTCAATATGTAAATAAAAAACATTTGAGAGGACGAATCATATATTAGTGAAAATCTTTTTATCCACAATATTTTTTATTTGACTTTTTTGGAAGTCCTCTTCGCCGCAAATTAAGATTGTCAAGCTCTTCCAGTTAGTGATACAAGAGACAAAAAAGATAACTGGTCATGACTAAACACATGTTTCTTAAAAAATAAACCAACATACAATAAGAATTGTCCCTTGCTCTTGTTTATCGTCATGTGGAACTATCAATGTCGGAACTTGAAAGAAATTCCAATATCGGAAGGGGTTATAGTCATTCTAGGAATCAACACATTATTACCTACGTGATCATAGTGAGTAGCCTACATTTGATAACATAAATAGAAAGTTTTGTCACAACAAATCATATCTTATTGCACAGACCTATACAATTGTCAATGTTCCACAACAACATGACTGACAATGCAATCTCCAAATGCATCTCATGATACGGTATTCTCGAACATTTAATATGCTTCGAGTGTTAGTATGTAAACTAAAAGTTTGGCTTTTTGTTAACATTATTCATGGTTGAATGAAAATTATGTTTAGTTAAAAGTTCTGCATTATGATGTTTTATATATACATAGATATGGTTCATCACAAATAAACATAAGATCATATTATTAATTACTTGTAAAAACATAAAGTTTAGTTCACATCCTATTTGGTTCATAACTTAGATGGAGTTGAACAACCCATTGCGAACGGTTGTAGTGTAATTTAGTTCAGATGGTTTTAACTGATGAATTACACTAGTACATTTTAAGTATATTGAACGGATCCCATGAGGATAAATTAAATTTAAATTGATCAAGTAAATAAACCAGACATCTGTTATTACTTCGTACTGCTAACCCGTAAGATAATAACGGGCATGTGCACTAAGTAGTTGGTACTTTGATTCACTAAAAAGTGAGATTCATTACGCTGGATCAACAGTCTAGGTGAGTTGGATAATAATAGTGTTTGTATGGTGTGATGTTCGATTATTTACGGTCAACGTGTGCTTTAGTTTGATGATGTCCCCGAAATGAGCTCAAGAATGATTATTATGTCAAGCCCGACATAATAATAATAATAACTTGAGTGGTACTAATTTCAGATCAAGTAGTCAATTAATTATGTTATATGTAATTAAATTAATTGATAAGCATTATATCTAGTGTGCAACAACTTCGATCTGCCTTTCACGAACCGGATCTACGTTATGACTTGTTCGTAGACCTTCAAAATGGGTCGGGAGGAGTTCCCGGCATTAGCACTTCGACTATCAAGTCCACGGTGATGAAGACCATAACTGTAAGTATTACATTATGTGGAGAATGTAGAGTGTAAATAGACATACCTCACTCCTTTATATATGTACTTCAGTGTATTCTCTTCTCTTGAGTTTTGAAATTAATCAATTACCCATGTTCGACAAAAAGTTATGCTTAAAATACACAAATTGCGCATGTTGGTTGCATCAAGTTTTTGGAGCAGCTTAATATTTCATTTTCGACCTTTCTCCCTTTTATAAAATATTCTTTTGAACTTTGAGTCTCCAACAATGTTGTTGTTCTATTTGTTGGGGTTCCGTAGGAGGAAGAATTACTGAATTAGCATAATACCTATATTATATTAAAAGATGTGCTTTAATTACAAATGTCGCACTAGCCATTTTTCAAACCCGTAATCGAGACTTGATCTTGAATCTAATTAATTAAAGAAAAAATTTATATTATGCATATATTATGTTAGATAATTTTACATGCAAATTTCAAGGAGTCGAGTTCGTGAGACGAGTACGACCCTACTCCTTTTTTCATCGACATTCAAGGTGGTGATTTTCTATGCACTTACTTACTTTAATTTTATGTCATCATTATAGTTGTATATACATGTCACAGGGCATGCGACCATAATGGTAAAGGGCCTTCAGGCAAATATATGTTCATGGGCTGACGAGCCATATCTACTTGATGCATTAGAGTCGCGGGGTGACATTTTGAGTTGTCTCGAAATATATACAAGGGGCGACGGGTCATATATACTAATGCACCCAGAGCCGCGTGACGACATGTTCATGGACCCTCGGGTTAACGGTGTATAAGTGCCACAAGTCCGGGTATACCATGAAGTCTTGAAGCCCGTTTTGAATGTCCTAATTATAATAATGCATCAATTTACATGTCCTTATTCGGTGTTCCGATTCATTTTGAGATATGAGTACCGCTATGATGATATATGTCATTAAATGGTTAGTTGCTTAGT